TATTCACATGACAAGGCTAAGGACAGTGGTTGGATGGCTAGTGCGGACATCTATACATAACTAAAGTATAGTGGAAAGACACAAGCTTTAATCCATTGAAATGAGAATCCTCAATTATTCAATTTTGAAAAACTGTTATTGGCTTGCAAGATGTACAAGACGGTAGTATGAATACAACTTCCTTCAGATTTGCAGTGATAGCCTTTTTTACATGTTAACAATCCTTTCTATATTTGGTAAATACCCTAATTCTGACATAGATAACTTATTTTTAATCGGACTACAAAAGAGATTAGTTGAGATGCACGTAAATTGGTTCAAACACTCTTGACAAATAAATCCGTTTATTTACACTTTAACCACAATAAATTTACACTGACCTATATTTTAACCCCAATTTTTTTTTTTTGGGGAGGGGGAGGAAGGACTTGAACCCTTGACCTCAAGAAGACAAAACTTTCATAAAGTAAGGAGTATCATTAGATCAAAGGCTCGTTGGTATATTTTAACCACAACAAATCTACACACTTACCTATATTTTAACCACAGTAAATCTATCTATTTTTATTTTAATCATACTAAATGTACCAACTAATATTTTAACCATAATAGAAGAAAAAATATAAATTTGAACTATTTCTCGATTTATGCGTCTCATTGTTGTGTAAAAGTTATGCTAATATTTTCTGTATCATTTCAATTTTATCGGACGTACTGAAGGGACAAGAAGAAAAAATATACACATTTGGACTTGCATTGCAAAGGGTACCCAAGAAACAACTCTATAGGAAGGAAGAATCACAAACATTTACTCAATTAGTGTTAATCGTAAAATTTAAGGTGGAGATTAGCATTTTACAACCTAATCATCGTTTCGGTTAACTTCTATAATTGTTAACTATCCCATGTATGGTGGTACATTTCTAGGGGTTACTATTAAACTGATTTTCGACATAGGTTGATGAATATATATCTATGCATGTAAATTGTCTTCACTTATACATACAAGAATGGATACAATGCTACAGTGATACCGGTACCAAAATTTATAACTTTTTAAAGTAAAGTTACAATTTTAAAGGGCGTGATTGATCATAAAAGGTTAAGACCAATATCGAGATTTCATGATCGATCATGGGTGTCTATGATCGATCATGACCTTCTTTTGAACAATTATAATTTCTCATGTTAAAATTGTGACTTTCCCATAAAAAATGGTTACTGGCGATACCTATATCCAAATTTTTTTTTGGGTACCATTGAATTTTCCTGTAGGAATTATTTTTAGCAGATTGTCTGAGTAGTCCCTTTAATACACCTATTATATAATTTTATGTATTCAACCAAGGGTAAAAGACATAATGATTTGAAGTATGAGTAAATCCATTAAAAACTTTTTTGTTAACAAAATTAAAAGAATCAAGATTAACAAGGTTTAATTTAAACGACTTTATTTTACTTAACAAGATTTTGTTTTAAAAAAAAAATTACAAAAAGCACCAAAATTAGGAAGATTTAATTTATAAAGGAATTAATTTAGAAATAGCAAGAAAAATTCCCACTGTTACATTCTCCCTCAATCACTTTGCTTCTCGTATGCACCCATGGGTCAATTGGCTATCCGAAGATAGAATAGTGAGAATATCAATTGACATTGCGTCCCATAGAAGAAAGGGTATTTTTGAAATTAAACTTGCATATTTTGATGACATCATGAAATTGTAACACGTGTATAAAATTTAAGGGGTTTGGATGTAATGTTTTAAATATGAAGGAGTTTATATGAAAAAGTGATAAATCCGAGTATAATTTACCCTTTATTTTATTATTGTTCAATAGCTATAAATTATTTAAATTAAAATTTAAATAGTTTTTTTGTACCATAGAATTATCCGAGGCCTATCCTATCAAATCAGGGAAATTAATGAAGCAGTATCTAACGATTGATTAGTGAAGTTAGGACCGGGCAGGCATATAAGCGGTAAGATAAACAGCAACTGCAACTTTCTTGGGGAACCTTTCCATGACATTGACAGAGCCAATGAGCGATGATGCCACCCCTACTATGACCCAACAGAATGAAGCAAGTTCTCACATTGTAACGAGTCTACAGCAATTTCATAAACACTAGGAGATGCAGTAGAAATATCAAAAAATTAGGGGATGCTATTGTAATTTTACACACTCTTTTAGGTAAGCCCAGTGATGATGAAATTATTGAGTGAGGGTCGATTTTTGTGGTCATCAGCTACACATACATACTTCACCAAACATTCCCATTTAAGAATTTTAAGGATTTCTGTATAAGATTTATAATAAACATTCCCATTTAAAAATTACAAGATTTTAGATTATACCTGTGTGTGTGAGTCATGAATTAATGCACGGAAGAAATATTTCTTACACACGTGTCATTCATACATAGCAGGTCTTTGTCGAAAGTAGCAGCAGCTGCTGCTCCTGCTTCTGGCAGATCTCCACAGGCAGTTCCTCTAGCTCCAGTTCAAGGATTAAAACATAAAAAAAGGGAATGTTGTTATGCATATTAAAATTTTTATCAAATGAGTTGACAACTTCAGATCATTCTTGAACCCACTAAATACTGATCCAAATGTTTTTGATTGGATATGGAATTACCAACTCATTTAGTAAAAATATTTTTTGATAAAAATTTTAGTAAGTATAACATTATTCAAACAGAAATATAAATTTTAACATGTGAAAACAAAATGTGTAGGGGTGTGGGTGTGTGAGAGAGACAGAATTTGATGTCCCTTTCTCCGTTGCATACCCGATTTTTAGGGGTGTTCAGTTCACCCTATTTTACGGGTAGGAAATTTAGTCTTTCGTCTTTCGTCTTTCTACCCGATACTTTGCGGAAGAATTTTTTCTTGACCTACTCTACCCGATCAGGTGTGCTATTCCTACTCGACTTCCTACCTGATTAATCGGGAAAGAAGTTGGGCAAACACTTTTGTACCTATTAATTTTTGAATCATTTTAGCAATTCAATTAAATAACATACACTTATTTAATAACATAATAAATCAATAACACTAAAACCTAAAACTATTACAATAACAATTACCCGATTTTTTTATGTTAACTAGATAAGTTTTGAAAACTTGAAAAAAAAGAGAAGGCCTGAATGATGCTAAAAACTAGGGATTTGAGGTTCAATAACTTGATGATTTAAAAAAAAAACCAGATCTGTAGATGAAGGCCTTAATGATGAAGGCCACCAGATTGCGCCCAAATGGAGACACAAAGAGAGAGAGTATCTCGGGAGATCGGGATTGAACAATGAAGGCCTGAGCTATGGAGGCACATGCTTGAGCGATAAAAGCCGATGGAGGCAAGAGGAGAGGAGTGGAGTGAGGAGCTTGCTTAGTCAGTAGACGATAAGGTTAGTTAGTAATTAGAGTTTTTTTAATTTATATATATATTCATTAATTAATTAATGCAAGTAGAATAGCGTAGAAATGTGAGAATTGAAGGGTATTTCGTATTCTTATCCGATTTAATCGAAAGACTAAAAATTATTTCGCATTTCTACCCAATTTTTACGACTAACCATTTGGTAAGATCAGATAAAATAAAAAATTACAATCAATCAAAAATTGAAACACCCTACCGATTTCCAAGTGTATGCATCTGTGCAAGGATGTAGATCAGTGCCACTAAGGCTGAAAGCCAGTGCTTGATGGAAACTGAGACTGCCATTGGAATAACAGGTTTAAAACGAACACGTGCCACAGAGAAGGGTCACTCGACTCACTCCTCTCTCTCTCTCTCTCTCACACACACACACAATTCCAACCACTCTAACGTGCATTTAATCCTCCTACAAGTAGCCTAAAAATTGGGTATAATAGTGACATCATGCCTATTATTAATATATGACATCATCATTTAATAATAAATCTTTAAATGAATAAATGGAACACCACTTAAATAATTATAAAATGACATAACAGGGTAGGTGGCTAATCGAATATATGAGATTACCTATTTATTTGTTTTATTTTTATTGAATAATGACACCACATAATAATAACAATAATAATAATATAATATCATTGTTACACCCAATATTTACTCGTGTCGGAAACAACACCAAGGATGTGATCTACATCATTAAAAAAAAAATTATAATTGACTAATGAATCACCGACATCGATCACCTTGTCAAAATATTTTTTTAAAAACACAACTTTTGTCTCCCATAAGCTGTTTGTGAGTCTTTTATGGAGTGTGCATATCACATGACACTGTTACATAATCTGTTAAAATCATGCAAAACTTTTTTTCCCAGAGACAAGAGAGAGATCGAGAGGAGGACCCGAGGCTGGAGTGGAATATAGTCATGAAAATGACTCTTGTTGAAATTATTTTATGTACAGTAACTCTGATACTTCTTATTTAATGTGTGTTTGGTAAGTTACGTGAACTAATCTCTCAATCCATTCACTAATTAGAGAACTTGTGTTTCAATAGAGATTCAAACCCACATTAGAGACTTAGATATAGTTTATCTAAGTAATTGAGATTTGTTATATTAATCAATTATATTTTTTGTCGCTCAAGAGACATGAACACTTGACTTTAAAAAGACAAAAATTTTTACAAAGCAAAGGTACCGTTGAACCAAACGCAGTTGGCGTATGTTAAGAATGTTGCTGCTGCTATGTAGGACTGCGTTGGAGTAAAAGTAGGCAAAAATGGGTAGTGAGTAGTCTAATTTGGGTTTTAAGCGGCGAACAAAAATCAGTTCTTTCATCTTTGTTTTATCTATTTGCTCTCTTTACTCTAACATGGATTGTCCTTGCTGTCGTTAACAGTACGGTGGTTATAAAAAAAGACAGGAAAAACCTGAAAAGGAATCGCCATGAATATAGGCAATGCATTACTTACAGTCAACTAGAAAACCTACCTTTTCATTCTCAGGCCTTTATATAAAAGCTAGCAATGGAAGCGAGAAATGAATTATATCCCTACCTCTTTACTATAAACATTGCCAGTACAGCTTGCTTTTTTAGCATAACAGAAGAGCTGCTGCAAGTACTTTAATTTGTTGAAGAAATCAACATACATAGAATCATGACTCAGCACTCGAGCGCAATGGTGAAGGAGATGAATTCTAAAGAACTGGAGAAGAAGGTCTGCAACGGGTCTTTGTCTTTCCTGGAGGAGAAGACCAAGAGAGTTATGTACAAAGAGTGCAGGAAAAACCATGCTGCTAATATTGGTAGACATGCAGTGGATGGTTGTCACGAATTTATGCCCGCCGGGGAAGAAGGAACAAGTGCGGCTTTCCAATGTGCTGCTTGCACCTGCCACCGGAATTTCCACAGGAAGGAGGTTGAGAATGAGTACTTCTACTGTGGTTGTTCTTCCATATGCGCCACACCAAAATAATAATTTGCAGTGTTAACCCTGATGTAGGTGTCTCTTTTATATGGTATCTGCTATTTTTCTTATTAGATCTAGATTTTGGATCTAGGGTTTTGAAAATGTAAACTATTTTTGCATAGTTTTATATATTATGTTCTTAGTTGGTTCATATTTTTTTTTGGCTACCGGATGTCTAGGCTTGTGTAACTTGGGCTAACTACTTCGAGTTCAATAGTTGATCACTGTGATTTGAATTACGTTAAAACATATTCATTAAGGAACAAATGTGTACTAGTTGTTAGCAGGGTGTAAAAAGAAATTGAACATGAAATTTTCCGAGTTGTCAAAAATCAAAATCAACTACTAAGCCACCCTAAGAATTTGTTGGTTCATCTAAATGTAGTAGTTTGCATGACAAAGAAATGAGCATTCCTGTGACTTCTCTGAAATTATTTAAGAAATAAAAGGATTGCCAATAATTTGTGATACAGACAGTGATCCATGTAAATAAAATATGATTCCATCTTTTTATGTAAGTCGATAAAAGAGAAACATGAGCAAATTTTATCGGTCACATGTACAGGTGTTAGAGTTACACGCATTTTGATTAAATTTTTTTTTTTAGTTTGATCAAAGATAGATCATTTATGCCGAAATTAAGATTTTCAATTAACATTTAATTCATCTAATAAATATTCAATTTATTAAATTAACATTAAATTCATCAAATTAATATTTAATTTCATCATATTAACATACAATTTATCAAATTAACACCAAATTACCATTCAACTCATCAAATTTATCTTCAAATTCGTCCAATTAAAACTCAATTCATCAAATTAACATCTTAAATCATCCAATAAAGATCAAATTATCAAATCAATACCAAAGAAACATACAAATTCATCCAATCAATATTCAATTAATCAATAATATTCAATTTCATGTTAATATACTTAAATTTCATAAAAAAAAATAAAATTTATTCAGCTCAATCGTCTTAAATATTTGTAGGAAAACGAATTTTAATCGACTTAAATTTTAATCGAATTGTACGTACAAAGATTATTTGGGATTTGATTGAAAATATGTCTATCCAGTACAAGAGTAGATGACAATTACCCATTTTACATTTAGACCGGTTGTGATGTTGCTAAGATCATAACAAAACCGATCCAATTGATTGTCGCACAAGATTGGTAATAATGTCAGTTATTTGACTGGTCCTGATCGTAACAAAATTGGTTATGATAAAACATAATCGATCCAAAACACTCAGAAAACGATAATCTTACCCCCAGAAAGTGGTAACTTATTTCCAAAAAGTGGTAATCTATTCCCAAATAGTAATAATTCTACTTTGTATTAATTTTTGTAAAACAAATGCATTAATTAATTAATTTAAACATAATTATTTATAATACTTAATTTAAACATAATTATTTATAATAATTTTTTTCTTTTAGCGCTTTTCTCTTAGCAACAACGAAGTAACTGATTCAATGAGTTACCACTAAAAAGTTAAATATCTCATCATCGATTTTAAATGATTTATGAAAGATCAATGACCTTAAATCATTTACCCAAAAAGCATCTTCGGTACCATAGACAAACTCATAAAATTAATCCTATTTATATGGTTAAGAGTTAATTGGATAAATATAAAGGGATTTTTTTTATGGCCGGTCCTATGTAGCGATATTTTAAGTCAAAAGATCCAAATGCAACCTTTGGGTGTTTAAGAAAAAATTCATTTTAAAAGACCAATTTACTTTATTTAAATAAAAATATAAGTTTAATAATATTCATATAAAATGCACATTTCAAAAATCAAATCTCATTCATTTTAGATCTTTCATAATTTGAATTCTCTTTCTCTCTCTCTTTCTTATAACTTGGACAAAATCCACATCACCGTTTTAGGAGAGTGAAAATATTTCATTGGGATAGTGAAAATACCCCATTGTCACTCTGACTATCACTATGTCACTGCAGGTGCCATTGTGGTTTGTTATTGTGTTAATGTGACACTATATATATATATATATAGAGAGAGAGAGAGAGAGAGAGAGAGAGTCCTAATTCAGAGAGAAAAATCAACCCACCATTGTCATTACTGGTGAATCTGATAAATGTTGCCAACATGAGTTGCGCAAAGACCATCACCAAAAATGGTTTTTTTGAAAGCAATGATCGACATAACCTCTCGGCGATACAGGATAGAGAAAAGAGATTGGAAAGAAGGTAGTAAGAGAAGAAAGAAAGAGGTGATTGAAGGAGATAGGAGAGAGAGAGACAAAAATGTAAATCAAATATAGAAGAGAGAGGAGAGAGCAAGAGTTGAATGAAAGAAATAAGAGAGAGACAGGACAAAAATTTAAGAGCAATGCTAAACATACTTGAAAACTTGACTCGATCAATCACTGCTGTTAATTTAGCTGTGGATCTTAGTATTTATCGGGATCTACTACCTATTCAATGGTTTTGATTCATCAAATTAACAAATTATATGAACTTTTTAAGTACAAATTGATGATGCATAAAATAGTTTTGCACACCACCTTTCAAGTGTGAATAATAAATACAAGAAAATAATATTAGGAGATGGAGAGGCACAGACAATTTATAGTGGTTCGGTCAGCTCGACCTACGTCCACTTTTCAATGGCTCTAGTTGCCCAGTATTTTATTAACTCAAGGGTGTGGAAAACAGAGAGTACAAACTTTGAGAGAGAGGAGAAAGTCGTGCTCAGGTGATGTGTGATGCCCCCCCAAGTGTGGGGCTTGCAATTTATAATGGCCCCCTAACAGGTTGAGACTATTTTACAGCAACTAAGTAACCATTTCGGTGGAGCTCACGACTTCTTCTCAAAGGGCGAGATGGTTTAGATGCGGTCAAGGATAAGGTGAGGGTGGACTGTTTCCTTGGCGGTGCAGGTAAGGCTCCCGTGCTTTTTCTCTCTTGATGACGTAGCCGAACTGATGAGACTGGACTTGAACAATATTAGGCTTAGTGGGAAATTATAAGACTGGGCTCTTCAATTGAAGTTTGAGTTTTTCAAATAAATTGGGTTCTTCTTGGGCTTGATCCATCATTTGTCCCCCAAATGCCTCCTATGTCTAAGGAAACTTGGAGAAGGAGGCATTGACTCTTCATTTGTGTAATGTATTTTTGGCTTTGGTGCATACTTCAAGTCTTTCCCACTTTTGCTAGAATTTTTAAGAGGGCCTATAATTTTCAATTTAGGATTTTCCCTCTTTTAAAAACCCTAGACTATAAATATAGTCTTCTTCTTCATTCTTCCCATTTCACTCACCTTGAGATTGAAAACCTTTCTTGAAAATCTTAAGAGCCCAAGTTCTACCCATTTCATTTGTCTTGAGATTGAGCATCCATTCTTGAGAACTTTAAAAACCCAAGTCTTACCCATTTCGTCGGAGCTAGAGAGGAAAAAATGTGTTCTTCTTGAATCCTTCCAAGAGTATATAGATATATATACATACCCATTTGTATATATATAGGTGAGATTTCTTCCTTTGGAGTGGAGTTTTCAAGTGGACAATGTCGATTGAAGAGGGAGTGGTGGAGATCGAAGGAAGGAAGGAGGTAAGTGCCACTTTAGGCACTGGTTTGGGAAGTTTAGAGGCTAGAGGTGTTGTCCTGGACAACTTTGGTGCCGAAAATGCTATCCCGGACAGCTTAGGTGCCGAAGCTGGCTGTATAACTCAGGCTCGCAAAACAGTTGGTTAGACAGCACAGGCGTGCGAACAGTCGGACTGGGCAGCCCGCACGTGCAGTCTGGCGGACTGGGCAGCGCGCGAGTATAGTTTGGCGGGCTGGACAGCGGTGTGCAGGCTAAAAAGGGGGCTGCCCAAGCCAACAGAGGAGCTGGGCAACAGCTTGGGCGCAGGGACAGATCAGGGCGCCTCTTTAGGTGCTGACCCGGGCACCTTTGGAGCTGTTTTGTGCAACTTTGGAGCGCCAGGCAGCACTGGGCTGTCCCATTTTGGCGAGCAGGGATGGCTAGACACCTATCCAAATTTTGGGCTGTCTCGTTTGGGAGAGCATAGAGCATCCTGCACCCCTCCAGGTGCTGAGCTAAGCACTGCAGGCGATGAGGAAGCTTTGAGTGCCGCTTTTGGTCATCACGATCTGACTCCTTCAAATGTGGCTTCTCAAAGCCAAATCCCTCAAGACGATAACTCGGGCCATTCCTTGCGGCCTCGAAAGAAGAAGCGAAAAGGTAAACTGGGATTTGATGACGATGGATCTAAGGTGAATACCCTTTCTAGTTTGTTCAATACAGATGGAGATATCTTGAGGCATGTTTCTACTTATCGTATTCCTCTAATTGTGCTGTGTCGCCGGGTTGAGACGGGTGAGCTTGCTTGTGATGCCTCCTCTGGTGATATTATTGTTTACGAGAAAATGCTTGAGGCTGGGCTAAGATTTCTCATATCCCCTCCCATTTGCCACATTTTGCATTATTTTTCCTTGACTCCAAGGTGATTAGCGCCCAATGGTTGGAAAGTTCTGCTGGACTTTCTTACATTATGGAAAAAAGTGCACCATGAGGATGCTTCTCTTGTGGAGTTTCATGCAGCATACAATTTGGGCGAAACTCTTGCACCAAATAGGGGGTGAAACTACTTTACCACAAGAAGTGGTGCGGTGCTCACGGGAATGCGTTCCAACTGTTGCAGCTGAAAATCTTGCTTCTTCTTTGTTGGTGGAGAGTGGACTGTAGAAGCCAACAGAGCTTTGGTGCTAATACATTGGGGTGCTGCCAGAAAACCCGATACGCTGCACATTTGCTTCTTTTTATTTTGTGTGTGTGCTCACCATTCCCTTGTAGACACGCCTGTGCTTTCTCAAAACCAGGAATGGAAGTTGGAGGCCATTTAGGCTTGCCCTTACAAAGATTTGGGAGCTCTTCTGCCCAAGGATACTAGGGTCGTTGCTCCCTCTAAAAAATCTGGTGGTTCCTCTTCAAAGAAAAAGAGTGAGTTAGTTTCCTCCTTTAATTTTTCCCTTCCCCTTGGTATTTTTCACCTTCCTAACACTTTATTGTTTCGCAGCAAGTAAAAGGGTGGTAGTGTCTCGCTATTCTAGCAGGAGCCCTCCTTCTTCCAAGGTGGCGAGGACGGGTGATGCCCCCCAAG